TACCCTTGCAAGGGTATAAAGCTGGTCCAGCGTTCCACGACCAGGACGAAAATGCCAGTTTTGTCAGCCGGGGATCGGACCACCAGGGCCTCCCTTGGCCGCCACCCGATCCACAATGCACCGAACCCCTGACATTCCCCTTGTGGGTGGTGGGCCCACCTGGGGACAGTCCCGCGTGCCTCTTTCGGGCTGTGCCCGGCCGGGCCCCACGGGCCAAGGCCCGGCCACCAGGCGCTCGCCAACGGGCCCCTCCCCCAGGCTGTGCCCCTGACCTCCACGCACTGTTGAGAAGGCGTGTCAGCCACGACAGCCCCACAACATCTAGAGCCTTCAGGTACTCCGGGCGGAGTTTAGTTGTTACAAGGAAATATATTTATGCAAATAATTTTTATTAGCTTAAATTATATTCACTGGCTAGATATTACAAAAAAACAGTCATTATTATTATGCATATTTTATGAGTCTGATTATCTATCTTAAAATGTGTGAATGTGTGTCTGAACAGTGTGAGTGACTGGCGATGGGTTGGTGCCCCATCCTGGGTCATTTCCTGCCTTGTGCCCAAAGCTTCTGGACCATTGTGACCCTGCATAGGACAAGCAGTGATAGAAAATGGATGGACTGATGGATGGATGGATGGATGGATGGATGGATGTAAACCTATTTTGAACCAGCTTGTACAGCATATTTAAACAGTGAAATGTTTCCAGACCCATGTGACCCTGTAGTGAAATATGTAAAACTACATAATTTACTTTAAATTAAGTACTTGATAAACTATAAGGGGACTGGGATAATAAAACATTTCTATACAATTTTAGTAGCATGTAAATGATTAGAAATGATCTTTGCAACATGTTCACCAGCAGACCTTGCCATGTTTACACTCACGCTGACAGACTGTTCCTCTGCGTCGTCTCTGGTGTGTGGCTCAGTGCCTTAGGACTCCAGCTCCAAAAGCCTGGCTGACAGAGCGATGCCACTGTTGGGCACCTTGAGCAGTTTAATCTCAATAGGGCCCTTAATTACAATTGGGCCCTTAATCCCAGTTGCTTCAGTGCTGTTAGACATTTGCTGATCCTGCACTGTGACCCCAAACTTGCTCTCACCCATCTGTGTCTCTCATGGAAGGAAAAATGGGATGAAGAGAGTGTATTGATCCATTCATTATAAACAGTGACATATATACTTTATTTGAAATAGAAAAGTCACAAATTCATTTAGAATAAAGTTAAAAATTAACAGTGGTTATCATAATTAATAAAAGACATAATCTTCATCCATCCATCTTCTTACTGCTTATGCTAAACACTGATAATCCTGATACTTTTAATGGCTTTATTTCCATGAAACATAACTACCTTCTAGAT